ATGATCTACCTAAGCCCTGGTTAGATGCCTGCTACATTAAGACTAAACGTAAACAAACTCAAGATACAACACCTCTCCACCCAATAGGTTGTATAAGCATAGACCCTCTAACAGGGTCTATGGTACAAGTAAGATATTTCAGGGGTTGTATGCTGGCTTGTAGGACACTGAGAAATTAGTAAACAGTGGCTACACTGTTTACCAGTATTGATACTGTTGAAAATTTGCATATTGAATGTCCCATTATATTTGATGTGGATATTTGAATTTGTACGCTTGTGATTAAATAATAATTTAATATGCTCAAGTGTAGATTCACAAGATTTCACCATTTTAATTATTAGTGTAATTTCTTTGCTCACTATGTGATTTCACACGTTGCCCACAATATGAACCATTCCCAGAATACTATTCTGCAACATGATTCAGAAATATCTGCAACCAGGGCTATTTCGCAATTGTAATTTTAATATGAGCGACATCGTCTCATAATATTCATTATATTTACAGCCATGAATAGTCGGTGCGCTTAATTTGTTTTTGTAGTTTAAATAAAATAAAAAAATGGAGGTGTTAGCGCGAAATCCCCCATAACTGCGAAATCACCCCGACTGGTTTATTCTGCATGGCCCTCTATCGACACTACAGGAACCCGTCGATTTTTCAACGGGTAATTATGTTAATGAGTGTTCTAATTGACAATCATCTAAGCCAATCACAACGTCTCTTCAACTGACCTCTGACCGAGAAGGCGTCGACTGATTGTAGCAGCCGATTTTTTTTCAATTCTACGACAGTGCAAGTTACTTTTTTACACATTGTGATAAATTAGAAACGACGACTACGACAAACTCGAATTTCAACGTGCCGCCATGTTGGGTCTGCAGTGTAACCTTTACCATGTTGACTTCATTATAATATTTGCTCATGAATATTTAATAGCAATGAATTTCCTGCCGAATAAACCAGTCGGGGTGATTTCGCTCTAACACCTCCATTTTGCGATTTTATTTTATTTTATTTTATTTAAACTACAAAACTACAAAAATAAATTAATCGCTCCGACTGCGCCAGTCTAAGCCATGAATTGAAAAATTGAAAAAACAAAGTGTGTTTTTACCAACCAGCACCCCTGGTGGAAAAGGTTGAGCCCAGGGAGTTTTGAGATCAAAAATGCTAAACAATTCAAAACAAACACCACTAACAATGTTCCAAGGAATATCCTCCTAAACTTCTTTTGTTTTAGTCAAGTTTAATCCTATAATTCCCTTTGTCTTATCGTCCTTTCACCCCAGGATCGTCACCGACGCGTCATTTACTCTCAAGCGTTGTTGCATACAGTACACATTCCAAGGTCTTGTTTTACGGTGTCACAGTAAATCGTAAAGGACATAAAGCATGCGCAGATCTTTTATACATAGAGGAATCATGTTTGTGAGAACAGGAAAGTTGGAATTTTGAAAATCAGAGAATTTCTTGTTAAGTTTATGTAATTTTTCTTTTTTCAGCACATTTTCCGTTGTAGTTTTGAATCGGTAATATTGTAATGTTTCGAAACCTTGCTAGTACTGTTTTTCAGTCCAAAATAAAGGTCGTTTAATGTTCCTTGCAATGGTGCATGACATGGACCCACCGCGTTGTACCAGAGACTGAATTTTGAGGTTCAAAATGACACTTTTTGAAGTTTATATCCCGTTATGTCCTACTTCCTATGGCAGTGCGTCAAATTTTCTTTATACACCATGTACAAGAAATCGCTGCATTTTTTTGTTTTCGTGCAATCATTTCGTTCACAGCATATGCATATTCGATTTCGTTTACGTCTTCTGAATTTAACGATATAGCAGTTTCAGCATCGTAGTCAAACTCGTGCGCGTTATCGATTGTCGCCATATTTGTTTATAAGAATTTGACTAGAATTGTAACGAAAATCGCCAAGTGTTGCCGAAGGCGTCTGTAGTATGCTAATACATGGTAATCCTCACTGCGCTAAGAGGAAACTGTCCTCCTTGATCCGTTCGGCAAATAAACTCCCTGATCTATGTACGAACAGCGGCACCATCCTGGTACCTCTGATCTAAGCTTGGCTGTGACTCCTTCTCCTTTTACCTCCATGCCATACCCAATTCTCGGCCTTTCTTGATTGTTTTTGTAGATTTCAAATGATCAATGAAATGTTTAGTTGACTCCCAGTTTATTTGTTTACAGGAGTTGCAGCATGTTGTGCCAAGACATCCATAGCTCCATTGGACCGAATCAAAATTCTCCTGCAAGCTCACAGTGTACACTACAAACATCTTGGTAAGTTATAGGAAAATAAAGTGTAAACTTACCGGTAGTTGTTATGATGAGCAATGTGGCATTGCTTCATACAAACACATTTGGTGAACCATGCTCAGGCCACTCATAATGTGTTGTAGCCGTTATGCCATCCGTAACTCTAATGCTAACTCTGCCCTTCTAGTGCCCCTCTTCCCATTTAAATTGTATACATATATGCCTTGTTTCAGGGCACATAAATTTACCTAAGAGCATATATGTGCACAAATACATAGGGGGCCTGCAAGGGTGTTTGTGTTAGGGTTAGGAGTGGGGTGCAGGCTCTTAAGAAACTTTTTCTATAAAAATAAGTAATGCTGTAATAATTCTGTTCCCTCTAAAAAATTGAACCATCTAATATATATTGGCTTCTGACAATTGGGCCAATTACTGAATCCAAAATTGCTTCTGTTATTGTTTTTTTCTTTATTGGATCCATGGTTCAACACTACTTTAGGCTTTAAAGGACGGTGTACGTAGAAGTCGTAGCATATGTAAAATACTTTGTTTACATGAAATAAATGTACACACAAAAATAACTTTCTTTTTTGTCATGGGTCAATACAAAAATGATATTTCTTTGGTTTGTTATAAAATGTTTTATGTAAACAAAACTGAGATCTGTCATTTTTTCTTTGGCACAAGTTGACCTGTCCCGATCTACCTTGACCTGATATACATGTATACGTCAGAAACATCATTAGCCAATCAGATAACAAGGTGTTTTACCGACAGTTTCTCACATCTTCTGAATATTGTGGTAGTAAATTCATTATTATCGAAAATAATCTGTTGAGTGATTTTGTCATCTAACATTTTTGTAATTATTGATTTTTTATAAGGTGTGTTTTCAGCGCTGCGGGCTGTAAATCATAAAGAAGGGTTTATGGCATTATACAAAGGTAATGGTGCAATGATGATAAGAATATTTCCATATGGTGCAATTCAGTTCATGTCCTATGAACAGTACAAAAGGGTAAGTAGTGCACAGGTAACTGGTTCTTTGAAAATAGTTACATGTATATGTATTAAATTTGTGAACAATTATATTATTTTTTTTTTTGCTACAGTAATATTTTCGGATACTGATATTTATAGGATACTGATGGATTTATCTAAATTTATACTAATACTGTTTATACTGTATTTGCTCTATTTGAAGCACATGTGCTTATGAAAATGACTGAATATGTCAAAAGAGTCATGTATCAATGATAGATAAATGACTTACTGTATTTTTTTTAGTTATGTGCACTTCTATTAGGAATATGTTTCTTATAGAACAAATACTGTATTTGTCTTTCATCTTGCCATATTTAATTGATATACGGTAATAAATATTGTTTATTCCTGCAGTTAACAAAGCAGTGGTTGGGAAGTCACAATCAGATCGCAAAGCTCATGTCTGGATCGTTAGCAGGTAGGTTAAAGTCCTTGTTACATGTGTTGAGAATTTTTGATCAGATTGCAAAGTTCATTTCTACATCATTATCAGGTAAGTTGATTTGTGATACAT